CCATCAGATTATTTTTTTCACGGTAGCCAAGTTCAGCAGGGCGCTCCTCCACTTTCTACTCACACGTAACAGATCCGGCCTTAAAATCTCGAGTTTCCTCCGGAGCTCTCTTTGCTCGGTTAGGACCGCTCCGAAGGTGGAGCTACCCCATGGAAATAAAGCACTGGCTATCGACTAGAGCTTTGCATGTAATTCTGCCATGTACCAAACTGGGCTGCACTACCGGTGGATGGTTCTTTCGCATCTCATGATGGTAGTGTGGGTGTGCGTATGATCTTGCGTCAAGAGAGCGGCACGGAGATCTTCACAGCATATCAAGTGATCTTTAATTGCAATGAGGCTCTGAAAGCAAAGATACATGCATTAATGCAAAGAATATGGCCCTAGCTTTACAACATACCGATCGGTGCAAATCTGATTCTTCCGTTGCGCTTGCAGTCTTATGAGGCGATACTATGTCTAGATCGGCCTATGGTCATTTGGTAGGAGAAATCAAGTCCTTGACGGAGGTTAGGGAGTTTGTTTCTAAGATTAATAGAACTTAAAATAGGGTTGCTGATTGTATGGCAAACTATAGTTGTACTTTTTTTTAAGGGTACTATAGTTGTACTGAGTCACGTACTTTGGTGTGGATAAGCAGATGTCCTCTAGATTGTGAGGACTTACTGTCTCTCGATTGTAACCCTATGAAATTGGAATAAAACTCCCATATGTTTTCATATAAAGATGAAAATAAATAATTCTGCCACGTTTCTTCCTTGTGACGCTCCCACATGACCTTAAATTTAAAGGGCTTTTTTTGAGAAATTAAAGGGATTCCTAATGCATCGGTTATTTGTGAAATCACTAGTTAAGAAGCACTCTTTGAAAAGGTCACTCGCATCTCCATAGGTTGCAACAAGTGTTGCACTGCATGTACGCCACTTGTCGCAATCTGAGTGTTTTTTTCTTCTAAAATTCATTTATTCAAATCGTTTTATCTTTTAAACCGTGTGTCTAAATCTCAAATCATTTTCATAGTTGGATTTCTCGCACCAAGATCTTCAAAACTAGATGTCATGTTGATAGCTTTCGATGAACTTTTTTTCATGAAAAAAACGGACGAAAAACCCAAACCGAGGGCACATTTTTCCCTTTCCAAGAGGCATGATCGTGTCCCTCGCGAAAGCAAATCCATGACTCCACGAAAAGTAAATACATACCTCTCGTGGTAGAAAAAAAGAAAACACATTTTTTTGTGTCTACACGAGAAGTAAATCCATGCCTCTCGCGAAAGAAAAAAAGAAAACACGTTTTCTTTTCCAAGAGGCATGGCCGTGCCTCTTGCAGAACCAAATCCGTGCCTCTGCGAGAAGTAAGTCCGTGCATCCCGTGGTTTTTTTCCTTTTGCGAGAGGCAAGGCCGCGCCTCTCATGAAGCAAATTCGTGCCTCTACGAGAAGTAAATCCGTGCCTCCCACGGAAGAAAAAAAAATGAGTTTTTTCCTTTCCGAAAGGCGCGGCTGTGCCTATCGCGAAAACAAATCCGTGCCTCTTGCAAAAGCAAATATGTGCCTGTGCAAGAAGTAAATCCATTTCTCTTGTCATAGGAAAAAACAAAATACATTTTTTCTCTTTTGCGAGAGCCACAACCATGCCTCTCACGAAAGAAAAAAAGAAAACACATTTTTTCCGATTTTTTCTTTGTCCAAAACCAAAGAAAAGTTGGGGAAAAACCAAAAAGAAAAAAAACTAAAAAAATCATCTAAAAGCTTAAAACACTTGTAGAAAAATAAAATAAAAAATCAGGAGGGAGCGCCTAGAGAACGACACACGGCGGCGGCTGAGAGCGTGCGAGTGCGCGCCAAGTGATGCACTCTGAGCCCACCCCAAATGACCCTTGGGGAGACTCCCGAAGGAGCGCTTTTGATTAGTTGATATTTGCCTCCATCTCATAAGCAATAGGATACATGGGTTGTTTTCTCTGACATATTGGGCCTGGCACATTGGCCGGGCTGCCAATCCGGGCTGTTCCAATGCAACATGTGGAACAGGCTTGCCTGCGCGTCGCGGCGGCGCCAGGCTGCCCTGGGCAGATCCTATTTGACGCTCGTTAGCGTCAAAAGGTCGTGCCTTCGCTGAGGCGTGCCTGCGGTTGGGCCGGCCCAGTTACGGGATTGATGGCTTTTTCGTTCGCTGCTGCCTCCTCCTCGCTGTTTCCTGTAGGTTTTTTCGTTCTTCTTCGGTGGTTTTTTGCTTATGGTTTTTCAATGTTTTGTTCGGTTTTTCAGTGGTTGTTTTCTTGTTTTCTGTTCTGATTTCTTTTTCCTTCATTTTTTGTTTATTTTCTATTCTATTTATCTTCTTCCTTTATCTTTTTTTCTTCTCTTTTTTGCGTGCTATATAAAAGTTCACCATGTATTATAAAAATGTTCATTGTATATTTAGAAAAATGTTCATTGTTTTATGAAAAAGTTCATTATGCATTATAAAAATGTCGATCGTGTATTTAGAGAAATGTTCAACGTACATTACCAAAATGTTCAGCATATATGAAGAAAATGTTCAATGTATTTTAAAAAATGTTCATTGTGTACTTAAAAGTTGTTCAGCCTATATCACAAGAATGTTCAATGTGTATTTAAAAATTCATTATCTTAGATAACAAAAATGTTCAATGTGTATTTAAAAGTTATTCATCGTATATCAAAAAAAATGTTTAATGGAAGATTTTCTTCAAAAAAATTGATCTGTCGCTGCATTTAGTTCTTAAATATTCGCTCGGCTAAGTAATCATCAACCTTCAGCAGGTCGAGTGGTAGAGAACATTAACTCTCGATTATGTGATTGCGAGTTCGATTCATCGATTAAACATCGTTGTTTGCTTTTTTAACGACGGCTTGTTGTGACTCCCCGAATGGGCCGGCCCATTCAGATAGCGCTTCCTGCGCGGAAGCTCGTTGGTTTGACGCTAGCGAGCGTCAGCTAGGAGGTCTCGCTGCCCTGACCTCCTCTCCGTCTGGGCACCCCTATTTCTTGCTTTAAGCGAGCAGATGGGCCTAGCGTCATGGGGAGCCCCAGATGGGCCGGCCCAGCAACGCGGGAGGCAAATGCCTGCTTTTTTTAACCTATTTTCTGTTCTTGTTTCTTTTGCTTTATTTTTGTACTTTTATTTATGTTTTAAAATATTATACACACACACACACACAACACTGTTTAAAAACATATTTTAGTAAATGTTGAACAAGTATTTGAAAAATGTTGAACTAGTATTTGAAAAATGTTGAACAGTTAACAGAAAAATTTGAATAAGTATTAAAAATATTGAACAACTATTTGAAAAATGTTGAATAATTATTAATAAATGTTGAATGAGTCTCTGAAAAATGTTGAACTAGTATTTGAAAAATGCTCAAGAAGTATTTGAAAAATTCAAATAAGTATTAAAAATGTTGAATAGTTATTTATAAATGTTAAACGACTTTTCGAAAAATGTTGAATAAGTATTTGAAAAAATGTTGAATAAATAATAAAAATGTTGAACAAGTATTTGAACTTTTTTGAATAACTATTAAAAATGTTGAACAAGTATTTGAAAAATGCTGAACAAGTATTTCAAAAATGTTGAATAAGTATTAAAATATTGAACAAGTATTTGAAGAATGTTGAATAAGTATTAAAATATTGAACAAGTATTTGAAAAAATATTAAATAAGCGTTCGGACAATGTTGAACGTGTATACAAATTTTTTTGATCAGTTATTAAAAAATGTTTTTGACATATACGAACATGTAGAATGAAAACGAAAAGAAACATAAAAAAAGAAAAACAAAAAATGGAGAAAATAAAAAAAATCTGAAGAAACGAGAAAACCCTGAGAAAAAAAATACAAAACGAAAAAAGCCGGAGAAGAAATACAGAAACCAACAAAAAAACCCAAAAAAGAGGAGAAAAAAGAAAAAAAAAACCCTGGTGTTTTCCCTCAAGTAGATCGCGTGTGCTATTACAACGTGAACTATGCGCTAAAATGCGCCGGCCCGTTAGGTAAGCCGCCGGCACCCACCCGACCTCGATCAGATTTAGAGTATCGCCGTTTCGTGAACTCGAGTTGCTAATCGGGGCGAGTTTGCGCGATGATGCCGTGCGAGCAGCAAGCAGCTGCAGAGCTGCTTGACCCGGAAGAGGTGGACGTGGTGCCGGCGGCGGACCGGGAGCGGAGCATCACGCCGGTGGAGTTCCCCCTTGTCAAGATTCAGATATCCTTTCGTGAGCTCACAGGCGTGTGCTCTAACCAACTGGCCACTGCTCGCGCCATGCACCTTTGTAGCGTATAATTGACTCTTAACACAAACGCTGAACAATTAGCTACCATTTCTGCTAAAACAAGTTGAAAATATGTTACTCGATTGTTCTTTCTACTAAATGGAGATGCAAGCTTATACCGTTTCTGCTAGAGAAGTTTTTGGTGACACAAGCGGTGCATTGCTTATTTTTGTTAACCGACACAGTCCTTGTTACATGAGTAGCAATCTAGCATACATGGAAAGAAGAAGTAGCAATCTAGTGTCGGTGTCGATACTAAATTTGACTTCATGCACTCGATTCATTGCACTCCAATTGTGGCACTCATAATATCTGTGACTGCGTAAGTACAGCCGCGATGATGTCTGGGCCCGGGAGTAACGGGCCTCGGGGCTTTGTTTTGTGCGAGAAGATAACAGAGATAGGGATGAACTTATTCTTTCTTTGCCTCTTGATTACTTCAGTTAATCACGTGGCAATTCACATATATAGGTGACCTAGCCCTAGGAGCATAATATAACACAGCTAACAGGAATCCCTAAGAGCATTATGTAACCTTGCTTCAAGATCTTATCTCTAAATCATGAAAATCCAACAAACTAACAAACTAATCAAACAAATTGCTACCTGCTCGAACCGTGATGGGCACATGACAGTACCTTACAATTTATAGATATGCTTTCTGCATTAGTTCTCCTCCGTACAGAGTAAAGCGTTTGATGATTTCAGATATATGGCGGTTGGCCCAGCAGGTGAAAGTTAGACAAAGGTAAGAGACCTTGTTTCAATTTCCTGACCTGTACCTTTGTTTTTATCTGTGTATGATATCTTTATACGTCAGTGATCAAATAAACTTGCGCTTTGCTTTTAGGCTGTAGTTAGCAAGCTTTCCTTCTGCAGTCATATATGTTCTTTTTAAGTGGCTACCTTTGTATCTAAAGAAGTTATACATATTGGAGGTTTATTACCTGAAACTCATGCAAATGTTTGGTGGTATTTATTCTTTTCCTCAGACAATTCTTTCTAGTAACATTTTTGTGGAGTTTGCTTGAACTTCAACACTAATATAGTGATACCAAAGCTAACTGCTTTCAAGGGAAAAGTAAAAAATACCAGTACTATTCCAATCTCATTTATCTGTATTCCTTATTAATCATAATGTTGTTGCAGTTTTTATTGTAAGACTAACTTGTAATTAATACTCCCTCCGTCCCAAAATAAGTGTCTCAACTTTAGTACAAAGTTGTACTAAAGTTGAAACACTTATTTTGGGACAGAGGGAGTACTATTTAGTTAATGTCTGCTGCTAGATGGCTTACTTTTCCACCTTCCACCATACCAATCTGGCATTAACTCATGATTACTATTTCAGAGTCATAGTTACTGCAATCACATACTTCAGGTGTGTCTGTACAAGGTATGATTCTCTATTTAGTAAGGACACGTCGGTTAGAAGAGTGCCCCTCTGGCCTCTAATGTCGTTGTCTGGATATGACTATTTTTTTACTAGTCAGATATGGATTTGACTATTTTTTTACTAGTCAGAGAAATGAAGACACAGCATTATATTTTAGATTGTAAGTTGTGCCACTGAGAAAGTAGGAAGCATATCCTTATGATGTAAGATAGTCAAGTACAGGAAGTAAGAATCATGTACTGTGATTGTCCATTTGTGTCTACGCGAACTTGTGTGCTTCACCTGGAACTCTATAATTCACTCTGCTTCATTCATAACATGGGGGACTGTAGATGTGAGGTTCTCATCAAGTTGCTTCAAGCAGAATTAGTACGATGGTGCTTTAACCGGAAATCTTTGAAATTCGATTAACAACTATTATACTTCAAGCGCCAAACTCATGTTTCTATACTTTCCGTGAACACAAATTGGACATGAAGGTTCATATTTTAATGGTTATTTCTATAACTCTTTGAACATTTAAGAAGTTTTCTTAATGAAACTTAAGTATTCAGAACTATGTCTGAATCTATTTGCCGAAAGAGCATGGCGGAGTATGATCCTTGTTTGGTAGCACCAGCTTGTTTGTATTTGGCATCAAAGGTGGAGGAAAGCACAGTGCAAACAAGGCATCTCGTATTTTACATCAAGATGATGTGTGTGGTAACTGGTAAGCCTCTTGATCATTCAGATAGACCAATGTTTACCTGGAAGTCTGGAAGAGTTGCACAACCTGCAACCATGTATTTTTGTCCCCCAAAATGTAGGTTCTGATGACAAGTACAGATTTGAATTCAAATATATTCTTGAAATGGAAATGAAGCTCCTGGAAGCACTCAACTATTATTTGGTTGTTTTGCACCCATACTGTCCTCTTTTACTGACTTTGCTTCCCCTATCATCTGAATAGAAATGGCATCTTCCACTGAGATAGCATTTTATATCTTCTGGAGCTCTGAGCTTTTGAAATTAACTCCCCTTCAATAGATTCTACAATGGCATTGAGAGATGTGCTATTTTACAGGTTATTGCAGGATGCTGGCATAACAGATCTGACACAATTCGCCTGGTAAGCACCAGTTCTTGAATACAATGCTGTGTCAAGTTGAGAACTGGATGCAATGGAACTTGTTGGGCTTTCTTATAATTACCGTCATGGCGTACTGTTTTTTTCTTTTTGTGAATGGAAGCTGCTTGTATTTCATATACAAGAAAGTTGCTTGATTCGTTTTGGTAATATTTGGTGGTTAAGGTAGCCTTTCTTTTTGAAGCATTTTCTGACAAGACTGATTTTAGTCTCGGAGCCAGACTCTTTTAAAATTTCTCTGTGCATATATTTCACTTAAGTAAAGAGTGTTTACAGTTGGTATCATCATAATTGAATATCCTTTGTAGGAATGCAGGATTGCAGGGATACACAAATACCTCTATTGACTTTTCCTTTTCACTTAAGTATAGTACAATATGATGAGATAGGTATCTTTTTTATGAAGGATCATCACATGGACGACAATTTTGAGCGAAATACCTTTTTAGATGATTTATGGGTGTACAACTGGCTATATCTCTATGCTGAGTAGACACTGTTACTTACAGGGGCCTTGTCAATGATACTTACAAGATGGATCTTATTCTCATATATCCTCCATATATGAGTGCATTGGCCTGCATATACATTGCAAGTGTTCTTAAAGGTAAGGACACGACTTCCTGGTTTGAAGAACTCCATGTTGACATGAACATTGTAAGTGTTTCATTGGTATGTTTTCAATCATTGATGATTTTGGTCTGTCGTCGTATTAATCCACTTGCACTCGTTTGCAAATCTCAGCTTAAGAATATTTCTATGGAAATCTTGGACTTGTACGACACCTACAAGATTGATCCTAATAGGGGCCTCTAGGAGGACAAGATAATTCCTCTGATGAACAAGCTGCCATCAAAGGCCTGAAATCAGATTTAGAACTGATTTTAGTCTGACTGCTTAACCACATGACGCTTCTTTGACTAGAGTGTGTGTATGCATAGGGAATGTCCTGATGCACTTGGAGGGCATTGACTCAAGATAGGCGCAAGTTATTTTCATGATGGTGATCCCCATGGTAGAAGTAGCCTAGTTTATGTGCTTATAACAGTCTGTAACACTTGGTATTTGCAGCTTCTGTATCTTAAAATACCCAAGACGCGGAACAGTTTCAGTTTCCTGCTTGTTGAGTTGTTCTTTGAGGTCTTTCATTCATTCATCTATAGAATGCGGTAGCTGTCGAGCTGATTAAAATTGTGGAATACCAGGCGGAGCACTTGAAAAGAACAGACCTAAAACCATGACAAGCAGACACGGTCTCTAGTACGAAGATGTAAAGACTAAAGATGTTGATACAGAAGTACAAAAATATTCTCAACTTCTCCATTAACACTCGAAGCATGCCTAAGATAAAGGAGTTACAAAAATTCGGCTGCTTTGCCCACACGACAAAACAAATCTCAAATCACTCCAAATTTGAGCTGAAAGCTTATCACAAGGCATCAGACGTAGTGAACACCCTTGCCCTGGATCACCTCTCCAATGCGATAAGCAGGGCTTGATTCCTCGATAATCCTGTCAGCTGCCTCCTTGCTTACTACAAGGACCATCCCGACGCCCATGTTGAACGTCCGCATCATCTCGGCATCTTCAATTTTTCCAACCTATAAACGTTTACCAAATAATCCAATAACTGAGTACAGTGGCAATGAATATATTGACTGAGAATGTTCAAGCCAAGATTGTTTGTTAGATATTTACATGTTGAAGCCACTTGAACACAGGTGGCACTTCCCACGATCCAGTGAAGATTTTGGCCCCGAGTCCAGAAGGAAATACTCTCGGGATGTTATCAGTGAAGCCACCACCAGTGATATGGGCTAGTCCTTTCACACCACCCTTGCTTATGATCTCAAGTACCTTTTTCATCCAACATTATTGAGTTAAACTTTCGGTTTAAAAATAAAACCATGGAAATACGGGTCATTCATCGATAAAGACTAACCTGCTTAACATAGATTGTAGTCGGTGTCATGAGAGTTTCACCGACGGTAGTTGTTTTGCCATCGTTTCCTGGGAACTGATCAGTCAAGGAGAGTCCACTTTTGTCCAATACTCTAGAAAAAAGAATCTTTTTAGCTATTATTAACCATACGAAATTCCAGAAAAATAATAAAAACAATAAAATTTGAACTATGAATGATCTATCTGAATTTGAGAAACATTGAACTAGATAAGTGTGATATACCTTCTAACGAGAGAGAACCCATTTGAATGAACCCCATTTGAAGGAAGACCAATGAGGATATCTCCCTCCACGATATTTTTACCGTCGATGAGCTTATCCTTGTCCACAACACCCATGGCAAAACCACCTAGATCATATTCACCTTCCCCGTAGAAACCAGGCATCTCTGCTGTCTGTCACTACCAATTAATTAATTGGGAATGTCTTATTATAATATTTTATTATACAAAAAAGGCATGGTCCATATGGAATGTTTATGGAGAGTAAATACAATTTTACAATGAAATGAATAATGGCAAGAAGTATCACGGTATTTTCAGTTAAAAATATGTCCATGCAAGAAAGATAAAAAGTACTCAGTACAATCGTTGCAATTATACTGATGTTCATATATGAGGGATAATTCACATGACTCGACGAAATCATTATGGAGAAAAGCTTATCTCAGGAGGTCTCACCTCTCCTCCTATCAGATTACAGCCTGATTGTTCGCATCCATCCAATATTCCCTTAATAACCTATATATACAATTCATTTATAATTAGACACGACTTCACGAGCGGAAGACAAGATTACAATATGAAACAAATGTTGCGTTAAGTGAACAACAACACCGACATTACCTTCTCTGCAAGATCGACATCAAGCTTGCCTGTAGCATAGTAATCTGAGAAGACCAATGGTTTTGCGCCTGATGTTAGGATATCATTAACACTCATAGCTACCTGCAATGATGAACAAAAAATATAGGGATTGATTCACTTGACATGATAGATGTGATAGCAATTGATCACATACCAGGTCAATCCCAATTGTATCATGAATACCAGTTTCAAATGCAAGCTTCAGCTTTGTCCCAACACCATCAACGCTAAATACAAGGTATTCATCCTCTGTTCAGTCCAACCACAGGAAACAGAAATATTATGAATATGGCATTACATTCATGTGCCCAACCTGAGTAAACAAGAAATACAGGGTCTGACCCAGCAAGTGGATCATGCACTTCTAAGAAAAAGGGCCAATGAAGCATCATATCACAACTACAATCAACACATCAATGCTCTCTTTGCACGCTAACCACATATCTGTTAGAGTTACATTTGGTATATTCGATAGTTAGAGATAACATGGAATTAGATAGGAATTGTTTGCATATTATAGTTAGTGGCCTTTTTATCCTCTTAGTCTTAAGGACCTCTACATATACTCGTCCAAAAGGTTCAATATACGAAACAAATTGCATTGTCTCAATTCTCATCCTCTATCATGACATCGCAATATCTTAACCTAGATCCAACACAACTTCCGCATCGCGCCACTCCGGGGAGATCGATCTCCATGCTACTCCCTGAAAGTCTTTTTCCTATCGTTTCATCAGTGGTTCTCTCCGTGGGTCATTTGACTGGTGTCTTTCTTTTTTGGTTCATCGAACATAAAATGGTTTGTGTCGCCCATGGCCCACTGGCCTCATGCCTGTACTTGCACATCGGCGTCGACTGGACACCAGTCGGCTCCTCGTCACGAACTATGTGTCAAGTTCGGATGTGTCACAGAAGGGATGTCTTCATGTGTTGTAGTTGGCTTCTTTCGTTTGCGCCTTGTGCATCACAGGTCCATCGTCGCCACCACCGATCGTGACAGCTTCGACTACATTGTCGTGACTCCCATGTGAGCGGCATCATCCGCAATAGCAGCCATCATCAACTCAACATGGTCTACACCGTGTGCACCTCGATCTAATCAACCGAACACACGCATTGCAATCAACCAAACGTGTGTGAGCACACAAGCATCAATACTAATCGAGCATTGGGCTGCTGATGTGTTTCCCATGGGCTGCAACTTTGACGGTCTTGGTCCTCGGTACCCGTTGTCAAAGTATATTTCTAAGCGCATACGTCGCCAGAGGCATCTCCTTCCACTGAACCGACTCGTGACCTAGGTCGCTCCCTCAGGCCATAATGTCATTACACGCGGTCATCTTTGTTCTCCCCGCACGTGAAGGCATCCTTCTATACCATTGTGGCGCCTCCCTAGTGTGGTGTCCACACCGTCTGCGCATGATCTTCATCATGCTGTTGGAGTGTATCAGGTTCTTCCTCACCTACTTCGTGTACAGCCGGCATGTTTCTACATGCAATTTGCATTGCCACTTTAGGATGTTATTGGTTCCGCTGACTAAACGTTCTTCTGTGTGCACTACAACTTAATCGCCGGTATCATCACCTCATCCCTGACTAGTGACTACACCTTTTTTGTGTTGCTATCATGGCTTGCAGGCACTCCTTTCGCCGCTCCACGCACACCACACATGTCCCGGGCCTCCTCTACTAATCTCTCCAACGTGACACAAAGTTTGTGATGGTACTCTTCTATGCACGCTCAGTGGCTGCAACACGAATGCGAAACTTCCTCCCGGCCACGTCCTTGGACTTGGAAAACCCTGTGTGGCTCATCGTTTACGACGACTTCGACAACATCTGCTTCGGCATCGACACCCTCCTCGACAAATGCCTCCATCGAGTCCCCGTCTTTGCCACTGATACATCCTTGCGTGGCTTACTTGTGCAAGGCGCCACGCTTGAGCTGAATGGCGGAGCAACAAAGAGTCAAGACCTCACGGAACTGAACGAAACAGCTCTGCAAATTAACGCACACGAACTCTGATGGAAATTCAGAGACGCACTTAGACTTTTTGCGCTGCTAACTCGCCTACAGCCTTTTCTGTTTCCTCATTCCTTTTATTAGCAAAAAACAGAGGACCAAAAGGACGTGACTATACATCATTTACTTACCCAAGCTACTGGTGCTGGCCGACCTGACACTAGGAACTCCATGAGTCGCAGTACATGCATCGTGGTCTAACTAATTTGGACAAGACATATGAAGTGAAGGCAGCATAAGAGATGAAGTGAATAATACTGTGGGGGAGGATGCCGCCGAAGCCGCCTATCCAGGGGGCCATCTTGCGGATGCGGCGCACGAGCTCGGAGCCAGCGTCGATGTCCACGCCGGCGCCCTTGTAAGTCATGCCGTCCTCCTCGGTGGAGCTGGAGCAGGCCACACCGGCGCCCTTGTAAGTCATGCTGTCCTCCTCGGTGGAGCTGGAGCAGGCCACGCCGACGCGCCGCTTTACCGGTGGGAGGCCGACGCGCTGCGGCCGGGGAGGGCCCCGGCCGTGAGCTGCCGCCGGGGAAGCCGCCGGCGCGCGAAGGAGGTGGAGGACGCGGTCGGCTGTCATGATGATGGGACGATTTAGGTTAGGGCTTGGCTAGGCGCAATCGGGATTATAGGCCCGAGAGAATATAAACTGGACGACTTACCTTTTTTTCCAGCCAAAATTGATAACAGTTTTTTTTTGAAAGAGTAGGCTGCGAGGTCCAAGCAGCCAGAATGTGCAGCGGCCCTTCGTTGGAGTCGTGGCTGCCTCACGCATACTCTCTCAAATGCAGCGCCGTCGATTATACGTCCCCTCTCGTTAGGGTTTGCCTTCCTCTCGGCGGCGGCTAGTCCACCACCGTAGAGACTTCATGTCCCCTCTCCCCTTCCCCTCCGATCTGGTGCCGGGGTGACCCTGGCCGGCAAGGGGGACGGGGGAAGGTAGGGAACCACCGCCCGCGGAAACTCT